CTATTAGTCCAACATACAGCAATTTCAGGTAGAAAAAAATAATGATATTTAAGATTATTACAAAAACCTTATTTTAAAAAGTTTTAACATCCTGTAACTCTAAAACTATGCATTTCTATAAACATATTTATAGGAAATTGTTTTCATATTTTTTGGTGAGGAATCAACGAGTACTTATTTAAAACTTTGGCAAGTTAATAATATTAAACATTTTTAAAGACACTATTAGAATTGGATTAAGGCACATTAATTGAATTGCATTTATTATCTCATCCAGTGGACCGAAATCGACAAAATATCAAGAGACAACTTTTAATCGGCATCCAGTTTGATTACGCTATTTAGCTAACAAGAGAAAAAAAGTCTGTGGCGTACATGCTTTTTTTAGACAAATATTCGACACATTTTTAACTTTAAAATATGTCGTACTTATAGTAACTTTTGCCTCAAAATTTCATTCAAGACGCTAAAAGCACTTGGAAAAAAATTATAATAAATCGAAAAAAATATTAAGACTTTAACACCCTGTAGCTACGAAACAACGCAGAATCGGACCAAAGTTGATATGAAAAATAAATCTTATTTTTACGTGAGGAATCTCCCTACAGGAGATAGCACATGTTTTTTGAAACACCCTGTATATCCCTTTTATCAATAATTACCTATGAGGGGCAACGGCCCAGCTACGTCGAAACACCGGTTTCCATTAGAACACCGAAGTTAAGCGACATAAGGCGATACTAGTGGATGGACGGGTGACCGGTTCGAAACTCTGTATCGTCCTGTTGTCCAAAAAAAGGCAAAAGTGTAAAATCTATTGACACACACTGCTCATTCACGCCGCGCCGGTTCGAGGCCGGATGAGATCGGATATCTCGTGAGTAAGAGTCGATTCAGACACTTGCCAAGTCGGTAGGCCATTGACAATGATATGGCCGAAGACCGCGGTTCGGATTCCGCGTAAACAAAGTAGGCCTCTCCAAAAAGGAGACGTTAACTGAAATCTTTACTTTTATTACCTACCTTTGAATTCAAAGATTAAATAATAAGCATATCGGTAAACTTAGGTTGAGCCCGATGGGGTATTAATATGGCTGATTCCGGTTTTGGTTAATTTCTGGTTCATCAATTCCGTAGTAATTTTATTTAAAAATATAAAATAGAATAGACCAAATAATTTGTTGGTTTTCTTTTATGTTGTCCGTACAGACATCTGCAGTCTGTTTACGTTTAAACACACTTGCACGTGTCCTTACACGTGCAGGTATTATGCACGATGTCCCCAGGTAATATAGCTGCCATCCACAGAATCAAATCCCTCAAGTAGCAATGGCCAGGACACCTGGCCAGAATGACTGACCAACAGATCAATTCAAAATTCCAGCACGCGAAATTAAGAGACCTAGAAGAATACTAAACTTCAGATGGGACCATGATATTAGGAAATTAGCAGGGATAACTTAGACTCGCATAGCCAACAATAGACCTCAAAAAGCCCAATTACGAAGAGAATATCTAAAAGCTAAACCATAATTGGAAATGGTTGAATAAGCTGGAAATATGATGGTGAAATAGTATCTAAAACGACATTTTGAAACAAATGCTACTTAGAAATAACAGAACAAGAATGTATGCAATCTATTAATGTATGAAGTATTGATTTTTCGTAGCATAGAGTAAAGGAAGAAGCATGAAAATTAAAACTAATTGCGCTATCGACAGCTCAGGGGAGGATACATTCTCATTTTGCTAAAAGCTCTGTGCAATTTTCCGAATAGGAATTTCTGAAGAGCTATCTACCAAGCCCTGTTACAAATAGCTCCGATTAAGATAGCTTCCAAACGTAAATTTGTTCTCAACAGCTGTGTATTGTTTTAATAAAAGCATTTAATACAATTAGTTTATTAAATAACAAAATATTAAAAATAAATATAGAGTTTAGCTGGCTTGGAAATGACGACCAATGACATTTCCCATATAATTTTACATATAAAATGACAGCGATCTTCATTTCCAGGTCATTCTCTAGCGCCATAAAAAACGTCCTATAGAAAATTGACCAAAAATATAATATAAAATCATCGACATATAATAGAATCGCTTTATATAAATTTTATAAAAATATATCAGTGTCATCAAGTTTAATAATAAATCAGTATTGTCCATAAACCAAACCATTTTTGTTTTTGCCCCGGGATTATACTATACACGTTCACTGTGTATTAAATTTCACTGACACAGTTCTCACAGGTCTATTTCAATTAAATTCATTTTCTACTGTAATAGACTGTGAAATTCATTAAATATTAAAACAATGGTACATAAAATTATTAGATTTTTTTATATAACCTAAAGTAAAAAACATTTGATCAGTAAGTTTGTACTACCAGTCATGACCTATGCATGCGAGACGAGGACACTTAAATCAGTCATTCTAAAGAAACTATACAGGTGACGCAACGCTTGATGGAACGAAATTTGCTGGAAATAACAAAGAAAGACCTTAAAAGAATAGAGTGGATACGAATAGATGTCATTCAAAGAATCAAATCCCTGTGGGAATTTGCAGGACACCTGGCAAGAAGGACAGACAGAAGAAGGTCAAACCTAAGATGGGACCATGATACTAGGAAATTAGCAGGAACAACTTGGACCCACATAGCCAACAATAGGCAGCAACGGGTCCAGTTGCAAAGAGATTACATATGTGAAATATGTAAAGGAGGCGGAGGTTACACCATACTTGGAAATGATTAAATAAGCTGGAAATGATAATGATAATGATTGTTTTCTCTAGTAAAAGTCTATAAAAGAGATACAAATTCATTCAATTTATAATTATTATAAAATACTCTATTAGATCATTTATTAAAAATAATATTATCAGTCAGTAGTTTAAAATGTATCCTAATAAAACATATTTATGAAGTAAACGACAAACTATTATGAGATATTATAAAATGACTTGAAAAAATAATCAGTACAGAAACCAAAAACTATTTATATTAAGAGGGTCTCCAACCTGTTTTAATGTGACCTCTAATAATTGATACAAACGATCTCGGGCAATAGTTTAAATAGTTTAGACGGCATTTTGGAGTCAATTAAGTAGAATTACTGGTCCTTTAGCAGACCTTTGTTTAGTTTATTATAACACGAATAAAAATAGAACAATATATTTGACCGTTTTCTATACTATTCATTACAAAATTTAAAAAAAAATAAAGTAAGACCAAGGAAGCAGTTTAATACTACTGTAGATTGATTGTATGGGAGGAAGGAAGTTAATCACTTATAGATCTACTAGCGTGTACCAGCGACTTCGTTCGCGTCGAATTAATCATTTGTAATGGTGAGGAAAAAGCAAAGCAAGAATTGCCATTAACATACAAACTGGATAAAATTTTCTCACATTTATGTCAGCATGAGAAAAAACAATATAGCGATATTATTATATAACTTGGTAATATTTGAGGGGTAGTTTCATCTCGTTGGAATTTGACTTTCGAAAAATCCGTTTGCCAAAAATAAGCTTTTTACGTCAAGCAGTTTAAGCAGAATCGTGGTTAAGAAATTACCCAACTTCTTGGAACACCCTGTATGATTTTTTAAAAATTTCAAAATATGTAAAAAAACAAATAAATTATGCTTGTCCAAGCGTTTTCCCGAAAGACTAACCGTTTTTTAAATAACAAATATTGTAATATTTGGGGGGCGTTTTCACCCTCTTGGAATTTGAGATTCGAGAAACCTCTCCTTATCGAACCTCTACACCCCACAGTCAATCCGTTTTGCAAAAATCAGCTTTAAACGTCAAGCAGTTTAAGCAGAATCGTGATTACTCAGTGGTCATATTTTATGAAACACCCTGTATAAATTTATAAAAAATCTTAAAATATGTAAAACAACAAAATAAAATATAAGTGTTTAAGAGTTTTTCCGAAAAACTCACCGGTTTTTAACTCACCCCCTTAGAATTCGAGTTTCGAAAAATCCCTTCTTATCGAACCTCTACACCCTAAAGTTAATCTGTTTTCCAAAAATCAGCTTTTTACGTCAAGCGGTTTAAGCAGGATCGTGATTAATCAATGACCAGATTTTTCGAAACACCCTGTATACATTTTCAAAAAATCTTAAAATATGTAAAAAAACAAAATAAAATATACTTGTTTAAGCGTTTTTTCGGAAACTTGACCGTTTTTTAAATAAAAAATATTGTAATATTTGAGGGGTGGTTTCACCCTCTTGGAACTGGAATTTCAAAAAATCCCTTCTTATCGAACCTCTACACCCTAGAATCAACCTGTTTTTCCAGTTGTAACTCACCTAGTTTTTCCAGTTGTAACTCATACAGGGGCGCATATACGGGAGGGGTAATGGGGGTAATTACCCCTCCCAGGAAGAAATTTATAAATGAGAAAATCTGGTATAAATTAAAATTGTCACAAAATAAATTAATAATATCAATCAAAGTAGAAATCCAGAACAATCTAGGTTTATTTTTTCCATAGCCACAATACCTTTAAGCGAAAATTTAATTTAAATCTATTACTTTATTTAAATATTGCCACTACCCCTCCCAGACTCACTCTCTGGATACGCCACTGAACTCATCACACAGTATCAGGGCTTTTGACAAAAGCCAGTATCTGAGACGATTTTACAGAGGTTAATTCTCCATCTCCGATGTGGCAAGTTTATGGCAGAAATGATCGTCGTCTCGGCGCACTCAGTGATAAAGTGTTCTGGTGTTTCCCCATTTTCCCCACAGAATCTGCATTTGCCGTTGTTCCTTAGAGATTCAATCTACTAAGTGTTCACATTGAGGAGACAGTGTCCTGTTAAAAACCTGGTGACAATAATCCAAAGTTTGTCCCGAAGAAGTCCTGAGAAATCTCTTCTCAGGACAATAATTATTAATATTGTATCACCTGTTTACAAAAAGAGGTTATACTTTCTTAATAGCACCTTAGAATACCTTTTATGACATATATGTCACAAATAAATATAGTGAATTGAGTTTCTGTCAATAAGATATCACTAAAAATGGCTTCTCAAGTAGCTGCTATGCCGAAAACGGCCCAAAAAATCAAAAAACTTGTACCGCTGTTCAATCGGATCCTGATCAAACGTGATGATGCTCCAAAAGAAACTAAAGGCGGTATCGTACTGCCCGAAAATTCAAAAACCAAAATCCTTAAAGGTATTTATTTGAAATTATAAGTTCTGAAATAGTTTAAGAATATGCTGAAATATACAATATCAAACTTCAAATATAACTTTAATTTTTAAAATATATTTTTCAGATATACCAGGGTTATCAATATAAATAATTTAAAATACTCCAGGAAACTACTATTATTCCTAAAAAATAGGAATTTTTTTATGAACTTTTGAGTTTCACATATTTAATAGTATTTGACCATGTTAATAACTTGATTTTTTCCTTAAATCTAGGTACGGTTGTTGCTACTGGTCCAGGAACCCGAACAGAAAAAGGTGAAATACTACCTATGTGCGTGAGAGTTGGCGATGAGGTACTTTTGCCCGAATACAGTGGTGCAAGAGTTCAAATGGACGAAAATGAGACCTACTTCATGTTCAGAGAGTCTGAAATATTAGCAAAATTCGAGTAAAATGTTATTTTTGCTAGAAAGCACTTACAAATTCCTGTTAATGTTTAATATTTTATTGGTGTACTAATTGACATTTTTTTGAAATTGTTTAATAAAATATTTTATCTAATTATCTAGAATTTTATTTTTTCAATCTATTTTCTGTCCTGTGGTCCACTGAATGTTGTCATATCATTTATTTGACATTTTTTTATAAATAATCTTTATATGTCTTAATTCGACGCAAAATTATAGATATTATTTAACAAATTATTAGTTAAAATATGTTATAAATCTGTAAAATAAAACACAAATTCACTACAATACATCAAAATACTTTACTTCTAATAATGCCGATTAAAAGTTGCCAACTAATGCCGACAATTTTGCTACACAAAAGAAAAAAAAGTCAGTAGCGCACATATTTTTTTAGAAACATTTTCCAGTGATAACCCATATGCACTTTCCTGGTGAATATGTCGACACTTTTTCTTTTTAGTATTAAAATATGTTATAGTAACTTTTACCTTCAAAATTTCATTCGAATAGCTAACAGCACTTGGATGAAAATTATAATAAATCGAAAAAAAATGAATACTTTAACCCCCCTGTAGCTACGAAACAAGCAGAATCGGATGTATGTTAATATTAAAAATAAATCTTATTTTTACGAGAGAAATCTCCGCACGAGAGATGGCACATGTTTTTTGAAACACCCTGTATAAGAGATCTCTAAAGAATAATTTCTGCTGATAAAAACTAAATTATTATTTACAAATTGTATTGTGATCAAATATTTTATGTACTTATTATCGTCTGCTCTCACAACTTTCTTGTCACACTCACAACTCTGTCTATAACAGGATACCTATTTCTATTCTCCAACAACCTGTCTGAACTTTTCGTATCAAAGAAACCGAAAATTTCATTATAATGATGTTAGTTTCTTCTAAATTTCGATTCTAAAGATGCAACATAGTGCGAAAAATTTTCGGGTAAAAGCTACAGTACTTAACCGGTGACTCACTCAAAGGATCCCACTTTGAGGGATCTCCCCCTTTATACAAGGGCTATTAGCACACTCTCGAGAGTCTAGAGATGGTTTGCTGTGTAAACCTGGCGAGACTCATGCATAACCAAACAGAATCGATTTGAAATTCTAATTTTCGCGTCTAATTACTTCGTACTAATTTGTATATTTTTTATTTTTTTCACACAATTATTGCTTTTAGAGCATTTCTAATTACTATTTTTTTACAGTTGCCAAACAGAAAATTCCTGTAAAGTAACTCATATAAACCAAACTTATTTTAAAAGAGGAATTTTTAATATTCAATATTTTCAGCTATTTTCATTCACTGTTTTTAGGGTTCAGTTACAAACTAATATTACCCAAAAAAAATTAGTACACCGAAAATTGTCATGCCAACGTCATTGTCAGTATTAATTTTATTAAATTTATTCATCTTTAAAATGATCTAGACTATACTATCAAATACCGTATGATCGAATAAAAACGGCGTCAGCGATGGCTATGAAATGACGATCGATGACATTTCCCATATAATTTTATGTATAAAATGACAGGGATCTTCATTTCATAGCCATCGCTGATGCCGCTTTTATTCGATCATACGGTATTATGATTTAGTCACAAAATTTAAGTCACAAAGACTGAGGAATGGAAGTAACCGAGAGCTTCCCATTTCGGGGGCCAACGGGAACCCCATTACTAAGACTTCGCTGTCCGTCCGTCTGTCCAAAGGTCTGTCACAAAGGTCTATATTATGAACCGTTATAGCTAGACAGTTGAAATGTTGACAGATGTATCTAAATTATTGCCGCTATAAGAACAAATACTAAAAACAGAATTAAATAAATGTTTATAAATAAAAAAGTACTTTCACTAAACATTATATTTTAAGTAAAAAATTTATATAGAAGTCCCTCGGTGGCCGCGTGGTTTAAAGCGTTAGGACTTTACGCTGCTATGACGTTGGAGCCGTAGTAAGGCAGGTTCGAAACCTAGTCAAGGCGACTTTTTTTTAATCGTTTTTTTTAATTTTTACATATTTATTTTTACTTTTTACATATTTATTATTGATTAATACAATTGTTAGTAATGTATTTCTTCATTTTTTTTAAATTACTTATACGCGCATTCAAAATTTCAGCTAAATCGGAAAAAAAGTTTATAAGAATATAGTATCTAATGTTGTATAGATAATGAATGATACGGAAATCTTCGTGCGCGAGTCCGACTCGCATTTGACCAATTTTTTAATGTTACTAAATAAAATACATAAAGCACGATGGTTACTTTTAATATTTTACATATCATTTCACTTCAGAGTTAATTACACTTTCGCGGTGTATGGAATAAATGAAATTATTTAAGGTCATATTCACACAGAGCTGATGACAAAATAATTGCAAAAACAGGTTCTATTGTTCTTTGTTTCATATCGAGATTTCTCTCCAACAATTTTTCTCGCTTGTATAGTATAGTTTTTTTATAATATACTTTCTGTCAGATTTATAGTATACTTAAGCAAATAATTTGGGGTAAATAATAAAACAGTTGAAGGCCAACAAATCTCTAGAATGGTGGACAAATTCACCACAGCAGAGACAGGCGCAGTGGCGGATACAGAGGGAGGCCCCTGGGGCCCGGGCCCCCCCTAAAACCTGTAAATTGTGTTAAATATTAGGCTTTTTAGTTAAAAATGGCGCCCTAAAAAGCATATTCTACATTGGGTACTTTTTATTTTGGGCCCCCCTAAAATAAATTCCTGTATCCGCCTCTGGACAGGCGAAGACGCTAAATTATTTAATTTGTCTTGATTTTTTAAGCAATATGTTGCTAAATTACGAGGGAAAATGTTGATGTTTTGGTGAAAGTTTGAAACACCCTGTGGAATATGTTAATAAAGCAAGGAATTTTAAAATTATTTTGTCATCTAGGTACGTATTTTCTCGATACTTTGTTTTTTCATTCATCTCAATAGCTTTATTTTTATTGAAGATATTCGCTTTTGAATAAGGCAATAATGCTGGAAGTACACACTTGCCGAGGCGACCCGAGGCGCGACAAAAAATTAACGGTATACATGCGACTATTGGTTAGAACAAGGTTAGAACCGTCCTTTCTTGTCCAGCCTCGGGTCGCCTCGGCAAGTGTGTACTTCCAGCATAACGATTTACAGCAATTTTAGCATTGATTTTGGATCCTCATCAGCACACTTACAATATAGTGTTTATTGTCTTTGTAATACTACTGTCATTGAAAAGTCATATTATTATTGTTTATTGGCGTTTACTCTAGTAGAAACAAAGAGTACAAATTATTTTAAGTCCTGAAGTATCGGCTATTGCTGCTTTAATTGTTCATGGTAGAAATCAACTTTTGGACTTAAAACCATCTCAGCTAGAGTAACTGCCCAACAGACAATAATATGATTTTTCAAAGACAGTAACATTACATAAATCACAAACATTATTTTATAATGCCTACTGACTAGGACCAAAAGCAAATAGTGGAGTGCTTTAAGCCCTTATGGGATACAAACCTCGGAATTCATTTACTGTGAACGAATTTTTATAAAACTTTTTGCATTGTTGCAAGATATATGCTTTTTTTTGCTTTTTGCAAGATATATTACAAAGTTTACCCATTTAAATTCGTTGCTTTCACTTTCGTACATACAAATGCATACATACGAGATGGCTCCGTATTCCGCAAAAGCTCTGTATCAGGATTCTTATTTGAGATTTTTACTCCAAACCTTTTACAAAATATGTGTTTAATGGTAGTTCACATTTCAAAAATATTTTTATAGATATACAGGGTGAGTCAAATATATATCTATATTTGTTTAGTTCAATGAATTTGCTATAAAATTCCGGTCCCAAAAATACCTTAATACCATAGAGTATACTATGTGGTTTTTGAATTATGACCACAACCATGAGAACGTCAATCTAGACGTCCAGGAACCTTCGTATGAGAACTTCTAATCGAGACGATCGATTTATTGTAAGTTTATCGCTAAGGAACCGCCCTTTGCCAGCTTTTCAAACTGATAATGAATTGCACTTAAAAAACGTACATCTAACTAACGGACTATAAGAAGAAGATTAAATGAAGCAAATCTTATGCTTCGGGACCAGAACATACTAGATGTGTTGACTAGGCCCAAAAGCAAAGGCATGGTCATAATGTAAAAATTACGAAAAAATGTTAGTGTCCTCTTCAAAAGCGAATATTTCCAATAAAAATAAAGTTAATGAGATAAACCAAAAAAACAAACCATCGTGAAAGGATGTATCTAGATGATAAAATGATTTTTAAATTTCTTACGGTTTTACCATATTCCACAGGGTGTTTCAAACTTTCATCAAAATATCAATATTTTGTTTTCCCTCGTATAATTAACAGATGGGGAGTTTCATTTTTAATTTAGAAAAAGATACTAAAAAGTCAAATAATTTGGCTACACACTGCTTAAAAAATCATCAAAATCGGCCCATTAAAACAAAATATATTAACCTTTAAAATACATCAAAGTTTTAAGGTGCCCATTTTCCGTGCCCGTGAATGTATTTCAAAAATTATACATTTTAGTCATATACTTTTCTAATGAAACAAACCTTTATTTTTTACTAGAATCCAAAAATCAATTAATATATAGGGTGTTCCATTACAAAAAACATAAATTTGATGTGTAACTTTTTTTGGAGACACCCTGTAGAACTCTACATAATTTTAGAAAATGTTTTAAATTGATTTTTTTTTCACAATAAGGGGCCGTCCTCTGCCGGAAACACTGCGACCTGTGAGGCCTATTGTGTTTGTCCCCTTTCTATATCTGCACCCATTCTCCTATCCCTGTGCCCTGCACTAACTTATGCAGGTCCTTGATAGGATGGGAGCATAGTTCCTCCGGTTCTAGCCTAGCTTTCCCAAATAAAAAGTGTCGCTTGCAATCCAGAGCCTCTCAGTGACATATTATGTGCTCCGCTGTTTCAGGATCTTTATCGCAGAGTCTGCAGCAAAGACTTCCTTGATACAGATTGAGCTTGTTCAGGTAACACTTTACAGCCATATGTCCTGTCAAGAGGCCTGTTGTAA